CCACAAATTTTTTATACAAGCTTCTAAACCTGACCATTAGACTGTGGGTGATTGTTTAACATTGATGTTTAGCAAATGTTTAGCAAAGTACAGAAGGCATTCCACACCGGTGACATGACCTGCGTTTCTCAGTCTAAGACACTGTCGTCCAGAAAATCTAAACACATAATGAAAAGGGTTTCTGTGGTTTCCACAACAATGGAATGTTTTTCTTTGGACCTAACCAGCATGCTTTAGAGAAGCGATGTATTACCACCGGTACCGTAGTATTACCCCAAGATGGGGGGAGATCACTTGTAAAATCTACATCAAGGTGCAAGCAGGGCCTCTGTGGAATGGGCAGCAGCTTGAAGTGTCCAGCGAGGAGTTTTCTGGGACATTTAGTTTGGGCACAGACCGTCAATCATGTCAATCAATCAGTCAATCATAGACATTCATGTCAACCTAGCATTAGGTGTCTTGCCCAAGGACTTGTGGTTCTGTCCCAAGCAGGAAACCAAACCTCAGTCTGCTTTAAGCTGAAATTCAAGAATGTATGTATTAAATATGTGCTGAGACATAGTGTGTACTTTCAATAGAAAGGACAATAAAAAAACATCACCACTCTAGTCTTTAGTGTAGCACAACCAGTAACACCTCTGCCCTCCAACCAGCAGACTGGGGTTTGATTGGGGTTCAGGCAAGCACATCATCTGTACCAATAAGCATCACTGAGAGTGTTTACATGCACCCAATAATCATAATTCATAATATAATCATAAATAATCTTAATATAATCATAATCAGATTAGTATCAGTTATCAGATTATTCAAGTGGTCATGTCAATAGCACAGTCTAATTCCATGAGTTTATCGGCCAGTTGCAAAGCAGAAATCCAATTACTGTCTGACTTATGTAGGCCCAGAGTTTCCCCATTATCTGATTACTCAAGCACATGTAGACACATTGATCGGATTACTGACAAAATCTGATTTTCTGCAGTTATCGGATTATTAAGTGCATGTAAACACACTCACTGAGTTTGACTCCTAATGCTACATTAACCTACCTCTGTTCTGGAAAAGGCTATGTTTTTCCCTAAATTTTATTTGCTGGTTATTGTCAGATGAACAAAGAAATATATGTTGGTTAAACAAATCAATCTTAGTAAGGATGACTACAAAAGCAGCTGCTGAGAAAACACAAAAATCTTAATACATTACGCTGCATTAAATAGTAAATAGAGCAGGTGGACTTCAGTAGTGGAGCAGGAAAACATTGGTATACGATAAATAGACATGTAGTGGCAGATTTACTAAACAGGGCATTAATTACTGACAGTCTACCGACAGTTTGCGCTGGTAGGCGTGGCCAGTTTAGCGACGTATATTCAGCGACGTATATTCATGTAAATGAACACTTAGTTGACGCACATATAACTAATAATAACTAATATTACTAAACCAGCCTTCCTGCATCTCCGCAATATTGCTAAATTAAGGAATGCATTATCTCTACAGGATGCAGAAAAGTTAGTTCATGCATTTATTACTTCAAGGCTGGATTACTGTAATGCCCTGCTGTCTGGATGTTTCAGCAAAAGCCTTAACAAGCTTCAGCTAGTCCAGAACGCTGCAGCCAGAGTTCTCACTAGAACCAGAAAGTTTGAACATAACAGCCCAGTTTTATCAACCTTATACTGGTTACCAGTTAAATTTCGTATTGATTATAAAATTCTCTTACTGACTTATAAAGCTCTAAACGGACTTGCCCCTCAGTACCTGAGTGAACTTCTCTCTCACTATGAACCGTCACACCTACTTAGATCACAAGGTGCTGGCTTACTATTAGTACCTAGAATTAATAAAGTTACGTCAGGGGGGAGAGCTTTCTCATACAAAGCCCCCCAGCTTTGGAATTATCTTCCTGTTAATGTTCGGGACTCAGACACAGCCTCAGTGTTTAAGTCTAGGCTAAAAACTTACTTGTATAGTCGAGCCTTTGTTAATTAGTTTTCCCTGTCGGTTCTATACCTGCCAGAGTCTCCGCTGATCTGCTAACACTGTAATTTGTGATCAGTCACCCATTACAGAACTGACTCTCTGTGTGTTTTTCCTTTCTTTCTCTTCTTTGCCGAGTTGAACAGCTGCCCATCTTGTGCGTTCTGATGCTGCTGCCTCTTCTGCCTTGATCGGGTGCCACTGCTCGCCAGCCCTCTGGACTGGCTTGACCACCATCAAGCTTCATGCTGTACTACGCCATGCAACTCCTTAACCTCACAGCCTGACCCCACTGACGCTGCTGCTGCTGCCGCTGCTGCTGCATGAACTAAACTAATCAATTAATCATTTGCTCCACGTGTTTTCCCTGTTTTTGTACTATAATACTTTATATTAACAATGTTTACTATCCGGTGTCGACCAGAGGAGGATGGGTTCCCCTTCTGAGTCTTGGTTCCTCTCAAGGTTTCTTCCTGTTTTTCTAGGGAGTTTTTTCTTGCCACTGTCACGACTGGCTTGCTTGTGGGGGCTTGGACCCGGATTTCTTTCTGTAATGCTGATTTCCTTGTAAAGCTGCTTTGTGACAACACCTGTTGTAAAAAGCACTATATAAATAAACTTTGCTTGCTTGCTTAACATAAAAGCAGTGCAATATAACCACCTGTTTGGCTGACATGCTGTATGAAAGCCCATTTCCATCATGTAAGAGGGAAAAAAAGTTATCCTTCCCTCATTCTGGGGTCTCCAGAGACACTTGTAATTACTAATTACTAATTTTCATAAAAGTATGCAGTGAAATAAGACATTATTTTGATGTAATACATGAGACATTCAGGAAAATTAGTAATTGTTTTATCAAGCATGAGCTCTCAGCTCTGCAGTGCATCATGATCTAGTTAAATAAATAAAGTGCAGACATTAGGAATTAATTAAGTTTATTTTTTATATAAAATGACATATTGATTAAGATTTGAAGTGTAAATGATTGCAGGGAGGTGTCAGTACAGGTTTTTCCTTAAGTGAATCTTCAGACAAAGTAACTGAGTGACTGCAGTGCAGAGTCCCTACACTGTGAGGTGCTAAAGAACACTAAAGTAGTGAGCCCTGGCCTTACATGCACATTTTGATTTTAAGGAAGGACGTGTTGAGTCTGGAGGACCTAGCGAGGACCTGGCGTGCAAGTTTAGTTCTGCAGTTCTGGGTGCAAAGATAGTGATGAGCTAAACTCTTCAGCTCCCAGTACCTGTTCAATGATCTATAAGCACTTAATAAATCTGTATTTATTTGTCTTTCTCTGTTTCTACAACCTGATTTCATCATATTCATTTCAGTGATTTACACGGAAACACCAGAAACACCTGAAACTGTTATAATCCATATTTAATATTATAGTTCAACAGAAAACCTAATTCCGCCAGTTTTCCCCACTGCCCCCAAAAGTAGGTGATCCGCAGAGTCGTGTTTGGTGTCTGAAGTTTGCTTCTTTAGTTTTAGCACTGGAACTACTGGGTTAATGTAGCTTAAAAGTAATAGAATCACATTTAGGAGATGATGCCTGACCAAGTAATCATCATGTCCCACTAAACCTGCTAATTTATATGCAAGCTTCTATAGTGGCATGCTTCGGAAAAACGCCAACATGGAAGTAAACTTGTGCTGTTACTGCATGCTGCACTAAGAAAATGCTTAAAAAAGATTTTTTTACTGGTACAAAATTAAGCCTTATTTGAGTGGGATTAGTTTTACCAGAGGAGGTCCGGTATTGTAATATTGTAACAGCAGTCAAATGAAGTGTAGAGTGAAGCTGTAACTCTGTTCTGAGATCAGCCCTTTTATTAAACTTAGCATGTAGAAAGGCATATAACACACAAACTCACAGCCACAGCCACAGGTTCACCCTGATGGTGACGTCCCCTCAAGCACAAAGCAACCCCAACTAGACCCACTCCCTGACATGATAATACCTACAACATGTTACACACCTTTTAACTAACGAGGAACAACAACTTAAACAGTACCTCTTTTAGCTGGGGCGTATGCCTCCCACGGGCCTTTTCCCAGCATGCCAGCTCTTGGTTGGCAGTGCACCCTGTGGCCATCGCAACAATGTGATTTCAAGTCAGCTTCTTATTCATCAGCTTTTTGTTCACACTTTCTCTTTACAACTTAAATTGTGCAGCAGTTACTGAATTTGTACAAGAAGCTGGCGAATAAGAAAACATTACAGCAGTAATTGCTGCGAGATTCATTACTGAGATGTCTACTCAAGCAGGACTGCTATTACTAAGGAGCTCAGAGATTGGTGAATTATAGGAGGTAATTTGCTCTGGAATTATTACTTAGCAGATTTATAAAAACTATGGATGTGGCAGATTTGTACTGGATTAAAATCATCGTGCTCATCGGCACTCAATCAAATTATAACACAATAGTCTTCAGGTAATACTGATCCTGTTTGAACAGGCTTTAATCACACTCAAACTGTCCGTAATAAACACCAGAGCACTGTCTTATTACTTTACGAGATCTACTTTCTCACTGGGTGCTCTAAAAATAAAAGCAAGAATTTGATCTGTAACCAGTTAACAGCAAGAATGTTTCTCCTTTTCTCTATTATTTCAAAAGCAGACAGGCACATTTCACAGCTTAATGAAGGATCATTAAGAATTCGAACATGGCGCTTTTTCTAGTTAGCGCAGCTAATATGAACAGCCATGAGCCAGGCCAACTTTGGGAGCTGCCGGCTTTCAACTTGCAGTCAAAACCCTTATAAGTTAAGGTATAGTCTATTAACAGCAGCATTAGATAATGATTAAATCAGCTGGCCAGCCAGGACGTGGGGGAGGTTTGGGCTCACTGAAAAAATGTCATGCATACCAGAGACGTTGGCAGACATCTGCTTTGTAGTTAGCCTATAAAAAGTGGGAACCTCACCTGTTTGTTTAGGTGGTTTGTTGTTTACATTTTCCACACTTGCTGTGTCATAACATCAGGCTACAGCCTAATGCTGACCGCAGTGCTGTTGTACATATTCCAACACTTCTGCCTTACACAGTTCCATGAAAAAGTATATGCCCCCTTCTGATTTTTTCTTACTGTTACATTTTTGTCAGACTAAATGGTTTGAGGTTCTCATACAGAATGTAAAATAAGGCAAGGAGAACATGAGGAAGCACAGTTTTTAAATGATCATTTCCAGTACTGAAGGAAAATATGTTTTGCAACACCTTTATCACCTCAATAACCGGATGTGACACCTTTAGCAGCAGCAACTGCAACCATGTTTCATTTCATCTCTACAAAAACCCCCAGAAGAAAATCTGGTCAATTCTGTCTACAAACTGCTGAAGGCTGTGAATACAGTTTCCTTCATGAACACACGTTCTGCAGTGAGGTGTTTGTGGTGAGCAGAGCGCGTCTGCAGGTCTCTACAGCGGCAGATAAAGCCAAGAAAACAAGGTGGATGTTCATAGCTAGTTAACTCACCATACTTATAGAGAGCTTCAAGGCTGCAGGAGATCACTCACAGGTGAGCGCACAGCTGTGAATTCAACAGAAAACATACTGAGTTAAAGTTAGTTCAGCAGAAACAGAAGATAGAAGCAGGTTTAGATGCTGCTGAGTTACTTTGAATCAATCTTGGCATTAATTCACCTTCACTGTTTACTGTGAATTGCTTATGTAATTAAATTGATGTAATGTTATTTGTGTGTGTGTTTTGTGTCTTTTTTATTCTGTTCACTTTGTTTAACCACCACAGACACTTCCTCTGTGCAAAATAAGGGTTTTGCTCACTGTTGCCACTCTGGTGGTCATGGCTGGTGCTACCAGCATCTCTCTGGAAGATCTGGAGTTCCAAGCATGGAAACTGAAGTTTGGTGAGAAATCTTTAATTAGGTTTAAGTCTAATATATTATTTGCTATATATGCTGTATATATCTGAAAGAATCATATTTTATTAACTGGTTTGTGTAGTAGGTGTGTATTTGTTTAGAAAAAAAAGCTTAAATTAGAATAAATACAAATAACTTTAACATAATAGTTCATTCATGTATTTGTTGTTTGTTTAACTGTTTCCTCAAGCAAGCCCAGTGTTAATTGTAGTTGTCATCCAATACTTGCCTTATCTAATTAATATTTCATTATGTTAAATGAGGTGTGATTGTGATAGAATTTATTAAATCTGTGCCATGGCTGGAGGCATCCAGGAGAAACTAGCACACAATATTTTATAAAGATGTTTTAAACGTTTTGATTAATACAAACGTAAAACAATCTTGTGCTGCAAACAAATTAGATCCATTTTTATTATAGCTCTAGGCTCACTTCATTTCTGAAGTTGTTACCTGTATGTATAATCTAACAGGTATCATCCCTGGGGCTTGGAAAACAGCCTATATTACACTTTGTCATAAAGGGGAAGATATTAATGATTTAAATAATTAAAAAACAATTTCTAAGCTTTATTGTCTAGGCAAAATTTTAGAGTCACTAATCAATATTCACTTAGTTGGTTTCACAATTATCTTGCTCATTTTTTGCAAATTGCTAATGGTGTTCCACTGGGGTCTATCCTTGGGTCAGTGCTTTTTACATTATATATTAATTATTATTGAACTGGGAAAATATATTGAAAATTAAAAATAGAATTAATTTCTATAGAGATTGTAATGTCATGTATGGGACAGACACCTCTCAATAAAAATATTTTAAAATGAATCTCTTTTAATGCCTTAATTTTTAATAGATCATAACATAATTCTTGCAAATATTTAAGGTCTGAATATTTTATTGGTTTTTACTGAGGGGCTGCAGTTTGAACTAATTAGGCAGATGTATATAACACTTTCATATATATGTACATACAGTGGAATGTATTTAGAACACGACTTTTTGCACACCTTACTGTGTTTTGGATTTCATTTTGAATGGATATAATTGGCATTTTTATTCATCAATCTACTTTTAATCACCCATACCAATGAAGTGAAAACATGATTTTAGAGCTTTTTGAAAATTCAAAACCAAAAACTGAAGTCTCTTATTCACAGAAGTATTCAAATCCTTTATTCAATACTTTGCAGAAGCCCCTTTGGCAGAAATTTCAGCTGCAAGTCCTCTTAGATATGTCTTTACAAGCTTTGGGTAGTTTATCCCATTCTTTATGGCAGATCCTCTCAAGCTCTATCAGGTTGGATGCCGATTGTCTGTGAACTGCCATCTTCAGGTGTTTCCCAAGATGTTTGATGGAGTTTAAGTCTGGGCTTTGGCTGGGCCACTGAAGGTCAAACATAGACCTACCCTGAAGCCACTCCAGAGATCTTTTGGCTGTGTTTCGGGTCATTGCCGTGTTAAAAGGTGAACTGGAGGAGGATGTATTTGGCTGCTTTCACTTGTCCTTCAGTTCTTACCAGTCTCCCTGTACTTGCTGCTAAAAAGCACTCTCATAGCTTGATGCTGCCACCACCATGTTTTATTTTACTGTACTTGCTGTTCTGCCCAAAGAGTTCAGTTTTTGTCTCATCAGACCAGAGAACCTTGTTTTTTCTTACTACTTACTTCTTTTTTACTGACCAAGGCCTATCTTGACTGGATGCCCAGTTTGGCTGGAAGGCCAACTCTAGAAAGGTTCAAGGTTGTGCCAAGCTTCTTCCATTTCAAAATACCGGGGTAATTGTGTTTTTTGGAACACTCAAATATTTAGATAGTGTTTTATATTCTTGCCATGATCTATGTCTTGCCACAGTTTAATATGGGAGATTCACACACAGTTCCTTTGACTTCATGTCAATGCAAAGTAAATTGTGGACCCTTACAGACCCAGGTCTGTGCCTTTCAAGCTACTTCCAATTAATTCAAATTGCAATAAGTGGACTCCAGTTGAGTTTTAAACATGTCTGGATGAGCCATGCAAATGTGGAGTGCCGAAGCAAAAGGTTTGAATACTTTTGAAAGGAAAAGATTGCAGTTTTTGATTTTTAATTAAGTTTCAAAAAACTGTAAAAACACTTTTTTTTCACTTGATCATTCATGGGTAAAAATAGCAATTATATACATTTAAAATCATTAAATCCACAATATAATAATGTGTACAAAAAGTCAGAGGGTCTGAATACTTTCGAAGTCCACTACATATATATGAATATATATTGTTCCCCCCAAACTTTTACTTTTTCCCCAGTGCATTACAACCATTTCCACCCCTCTCAGTGTGATCTGGCTGGACAATCGTAAGCTGGTCCTGAAGCACAACATGCTGGCTGACCAGGACATCAAAAGCTACAGACTTGGAATGAACCGCTTTGCAGACATGGTGAGATCTCACACAGACATTTCATTACACAATTCACTGAATCTTTTCTGCAACTCTGTTTATTATGAGCTGTTCAGTAACTGTATTTGACTTCTGTGTCATCACAGTCGTCTCACCATCTTCTTCTCCAACAGGATAATCAGGAGTACCAGCAGATGTTCAAGGGCTGCCTGGGATCCTTCAATGGGTCCGAGATTGAGAGGGCCACTACATTTCTCCAACCGGTAGAGGACGCTGCTCTGCCTAGCACTGTGGACTGGAGGGCTGCAGGCTACGTGACTGAGGTTAAGGACAAAAGTCATTGTGGCTCCTGCTGGGTCTTCAGTGCGGTGAGTTACAGCAGGACAGACAGAGAGGGAGAACCAGATGGAGGGATAATTTGAAGTAGCAGTGGGTGGTAAAGATAAATATTTGTCTTTAAAATTTCTGAAAGTACCTGGGTCTTTATCTTCTTGCATTGTGCAAGTACCTCCCAGGGAAGGACACACTTCCCAACATGTAAAAACCAAAACAGTTTTGTAGATAAGCAGTCAACATCAGCCATATAAAACCACCCATTCTTTGCCATTATATCAGTAAAAATACTGTATATTTGTATTCAAACCATAAAGAATTACACATTCTGATCAGTCTTCTGAATCTGTTTAAATACATACTAAGCATGAATTATGTATAAAAAAAACATCATCATCATCATCATTACTCCACTGATAGACATTAGTATGGCTAGTGACTCACTGTATAAAATAAGATTGATTTGCTTGAGACTCCACCTTTGCAGTAAAAAAACAAAAGAAAGACAATATATGCAAATAAACTACACTCATATTTTGTTTTTGGGTTATTTTTGACCATTAATTGAAGCTATTGAAGAGGAAATTTGATTTAAACATAACAAAAAGCAGTATCACAAGCAAAGAAAGCACTTTGTGGTAGGATATAACAATAATAATAATAATAATAATAATAATAATAATTATTATTATTATTATTATTATTATTATTATTATTGTTGTTGTTGTAATAAGTGGTTGTCATAGTAGTTGTAGTAGTATAATGTTATGACCACAGGACAACACACAATAAAAATGATGGTCTCAGGGCAACAAACATGATGATGATTGAGTCAGGACGGCACACATGATGATGATGATGATGGTCTCAGGACAACAAACATGATGATGATTGAGTCAGGACAGCACACATGATGATGATGATGATGGTCTCAGGACAACAAACATGATGATGATTGAGTCAGGACTAGACTCACTGCAGCATACAAAGATATTAATTTCCAATGACCCAACATGTTGATGAAAACATGCTATTATAGCCTGTCTCAGTTTAGCTTACTACTCACTTTATAGAAATAATATTTCTTGCCATAATGAGCTCACAAATGCTCAAATGCGAAAACAATCTTTATTTTTTCTTATAGAGAACACAGTACATAGATTAGCTACAGATAAATACCTTTACAAATTCACAAATAATTTACAGATAGTATTATGTTGCTATGCATTATGGCGCATGTTAACTTTTGTTCTAAGTATCCAGCATTTGATAACCTTCAATGTAAGAAAAGCTAACCGCTTACCTAGCTGGCCTGCTAAGATTTGCTATCTTTCGTGGTAAAAGTTGTACAAAAATAACAAAAAAGCTCCACATATCTATGCCTAACTACCAATTTTGCAGAAGAAAATAAGCAAGACTCTGATAAAAGTGTGCCTACCTGAAGATCAGAAATTTTAGCAGGTAAGTTAGCTCTGCTTGGAGCTCCTGATTTAGCTCTGCTCCTTCTTTCAAATTTCTTTTGGAAAGAAAAAAGGCTCACACTGATGATGTCATGGACGCTAAGAGATTTTGACTGGCTGATGTGTTTTGTTGACCTGAGGGCTTCATCACAGTTATCGCCCTCAAGACAGTCACAACTTCAAAATCAAGACAGTCAAAATCAGCAGATGCTCCACGGGTACACTGATGACACACAGTTGTTTGTATTGGTAAAACCAGATGATAAACTTCAACTTAATAAGACTGAGGACTGTATAAAAGTCCTAAAAGACAGGATGTTGAATAACTTCCTCCTACTCAACTCAGAGAAAACAGTGGTTCTTCTTCTTGGTACAGAAGCTGCTAGAAACAAACTGACTAATTTAACGCTTACACATAAGTTTTTCAGTTGCATCAAGTACATCTGTAAAAAAACTTGGTGTCATGATAGATCATGATCTGTTCTTCAATGCACATACAACCAATATTGCTAAATTAAGAAATGCACTGAGTCTACAGGATGCAGAAAAGCTAGTTCATGCATTTATTACCCGAAGGCTGGATTACTGCAATGTCCCGCTGTCTGGATGTTCCAGCAAAAGCCTCAACAAGCTTCAGTTAGTCCAGAATGCTGCAGCCAGAGTCCTCACACGAATTAGAATGTTTGACCATATCAGTCCAGTGTTATCAACCCTATAGTGGTTGCCAGTTAAATTTTGCACTGAGTACAAAATTCTCTTACTGACTTATAAAGCTCTTAACGGCCCCTCAGTACCTGAGTAAACGTCTCTCTTATTGTGAACCATCACACCTACTTAGATTACAAGGTGCTGGCTTACTATTAGTACCTAGAATTAATAAAGTTACATCAAGGGCAGAGCCTTCTCATACAAAGCCCCCCAACTTTGGAATAATCTTCCAGTCAGTGTTCCAGTGACTCAGATACAGCCTCAGTCTTTCAGTCTAGGCTAAAGAACTACTTGTTCAGTTGAGCCTTTGGTAATTAGTTTTCCCATTAGATAAAAGGTGCAGAAATGCGGGTTCATGGTCATAGAGTATTATGGTAAACTGGAAGTGTTGGAACTGGCTACCGTTTGTTGACAGTGGAGCGGAGGGGCGCTGACATTTCAGAGAGCCATCATGTCTCTGTTACCTTCTGGCTCTCACTTTGCGTTAGGCTGTAATAGCTTGACCCGCCAGAGTCTCTGCTGCTCTCTGTTAACACTGTATACTGTGATCAGTCTGAATTAACAGAACTAACCACCTGTGTGTTTCTTTGCTGAGCTGAACAGCTGATCATCTTGTGTGTCTGATGCTGTTCTTCATCTGCGTCGATCAAGTGCCCACTGCTCGCCAGCCTTCTGGACCAGCCTGATCATGGAGGTTCTTGCTGAACAACACTGTGCAAACCCCACCTGCATGAACTGACCCTCCTGATGATACTGCTGCATTTTTAATCATAGACATTGCTATTCCTGCTTTTCCCTTTTTCCAGATCTTATATTGATGGTCAAATCTCATTCCCTGCTGTTCCTGTTTGCTATCCGGTGGGACCAGAGGAGGTGGGTTCCTCTTTTTAGTCTTGGTTCCTGTCAAGGTTTCTTCCTCTTGCTCTTAGAGAGTATTTCCTGTCACTGTTGCAATTGGCAATGCTAATGGGGACTTGGGGCTGTTGTAAAAATAAAAATAAACTGCAATATAAATAAACTTTGCCTTGACTTGAATTTAAACTGTAACTAGAACCCCAAACAAGCAACCACACAAATTACAGCAGTACATAAATTAGCATAAATTTACATAATTTAGACAGCTTAAGGGAAGTTATTGTTATTATTTAGTTTTTAATTTTACAATACACCAGCAAACAAGTTGAGGGGCCACCAAAAAATCCTGTTTAAGGCCCCCCAGAAGGCTGAAGCCTGCCCTGCCTTTGAGTCATGTAACCATGAGCTGATGATTCAGTGTTGGACACTGCAGTGAGAGGACTGCCCTTTATCTCTCCTTTCCTCTACTTATTTGCAAGAATTTCTTTATGTAACTTATCAAATGTACTTAAACATTATACTTCAACATAGATTCATGGTTCGCTCATAAATTTATACTCAATGTATCTGTTATTGTACATAATTCTACACTGAAATGATTGCATATGGTTGTACATAATAGTACTACCAATACTGCCTTCAGGAATGCAACAAATGTCTGGTATGTCAGTTCATACTTTGTACTCCTGAACTTTTCCAAGATGCACAGATTATTTTAATAAATATCTTGTGTGCCTAGACTCTGGGAGGGCATGCCCAAGCATATCTAATGCCCTGGAGGGCACTGACCCACCTGTGTCCAGCAATCTAGAGCTGCCTAGTGCTTTGGAAGGCATCAACAGCTCAGCGCCCAGCCCAAGTAACTAATGACAACAGTCACTTCGCTGAGCTGCAGCCTATATCAACACTGAAGAGCAGGAGACATGAACTCTTGTATCTCCCTGAGCTTTCCACTTTGCCTTCAATAATGTTATGCTGTAATCAGGTGATGGAGGACACATGCTGTGTCATTAGCTTTAAATGTGTATATATATATATGTGATGAAATCAGGGTGTAGAGAAACAAACGATAAATTAACACATTTATTGCTAATAAATCGTTAAAAAGGAACTGTGAGCTGAAGAGTTGAGCTCATCACTGTCTCTGCACCCAGAACTACAGAACTACACCCGCACACCAGCTTACGTCTACTCGACACGTACTTCCTTAAAATCTAAATATGCCTGTAAGGCCAGGTCTCACTTCATTGTTCTTTAGAGCCCCACAGTGGAGGAACTCTGCACTGCATAGTCACTCAGTTCCTTCTGCCACTTCAAGCAATACCTGTATCGACACCTGATATTTTATATAAAAAAACAAACTTAGTTCTCCTCAGTGTCTACACTTTATTGATTTAACTAGATCATGATGCACTGCATGGGGCTGAGAGCTCATGCTCGACACAAGTTCAAAATCCTATAGAGCGCAGAACTCATCCCACAGCCCAAAATGTGTTTTGAAACAAAAAGTCAAAATAATTACTAATTCTCTTGAAAGCCTAATGTATAATATCATAATAATGTCCTACTTAATGGTTTATTATACCAAAATATACGCATACCTTTTCAAAAATGAGTAATTACAAGTCAAAATCTTGTGAAAAGAAGTCAACCTTGTCAGACACCAGAATGAGAGAAGGATAAAAGATCATTATTTTTTTCTCCTATGTGGCAGAAATAGGCTTTCACAGAAAAGTCCTTAGTAGATCAGAGATCAGTTTGCTCACTGTACACATAAAAATAATTACATGTTGTTATTATGATGCTGGGGGCTTATGATCCAGGTCTACGACTTTACTGACTGTCGTTAATACCTGTGTAATGTATAAAGAAGAAACTGTGAAGCTTCTAATGTGAAGATTGTGGACATTTCTGTATGTTTTTCTACCAGGTTAATATGTATAATAAGCAGAGAACTCAAGACTTTCAGCCTGAGAAAAAAAGTGTGAATAAAACTTTATGCAGTCATTACTTAAGTGATGTCCTCTTGCCGCTCACACCAGCATCAAGTTCACTATGCCTTCAAATAACGAGCCTTTCATTGTAGAGAAACATTCAGTGCTACATGCAGAGAATGCAAAAAAAGTAAATCCAAGTGAAGTTTTGAATGAATTACAGATCACATTTTTTTCTTAATGTATGTTTATGTGCTGGTATGAATCACAGACATTATATATTGTGAATGCTGAGAGTTTATTATATTTTTGAGCAGTCAGAGAGAGAAAGAGTTAGTTTTCACAGAGATTAATTTGTATTTTTAAGAAAAGATAGTGGTTTAAATCCACTTTTAAAAAGTGAAAAGAGATAGACAATACAGAGATAAAGGTAAAAAAAAAAGGTTTTATTTTTTTACGTTTTTTTTTTGCTAAATCAGTAAATACATTCTGATCAAACTGGATCCTCCTCTGGGGTTTTCAGGTTCTGGCTCTCTCCAGTCTGTATATAAAGAACAATTAATAGAATTTACTCACAAGAACTGCTGCATCCTTAATGTTGTGTTACGCTTAGAGATACAACATATTCATTGCTGTAGTTCAGTTCTAATTCTGGAGATCCACTCTCAGCTCCAGGAGATCAACTGACCTGCAGAGTTTAGTTTCAACTGGAGTCACTAAAACCTGTTCTAGCTGTATGCCTGTTGATTATTTATTTATTTTAAGTATTACTAGGCAGGAGTCTTTTAACTTCGCATCTGTACCAACTGTGGCAAATACTTTTGACCACAGGGGTTTTATAATGGTCATTCAAACTCGTGATTATTTGCACCATAATCTTAGTTTATAAAAGTCTCCATCAGCTTCTGAAACAGGCAGCTGGAACTGCACCCAACAGGGTAGGTCTCTGTAGATGAGGACTGACACAACTTTAATGAAGTTATACCTTTAAACCACAGGGTAGGAGCCTCTTGTGGCAATACCACACTGGTTATCCTTGTTCCTGGACATCTTGATGTAGCCTTCATCACCCCAGTTAACACCCCAGCTGCAAAACAAATGTTGGATATTTATTTTTGTCCTCTGAGTAAAGCATGTTACTCTACATCTCTGACTGTGATGTGATCAAGAATCGTCTCTTTTAATGTTTGGCTGGTTTGTTAATTTACCTGTTCTTGACCAGCCAGTAGTCCCTTCCCTGCTCATCAGTGCCGTAACCAACAGCCAGCATGGCGTGACCCAGCTTAGTGCTGCTGCAGTTTGGCTCATCATACACACCTGCAATCATTCAGGTTACCAGCTTTCAATTAGGATGTTCAACAATTATCTAGTAAATCAAATGGACTGTTAACAAAATTCTGAGAAAGTCCTGCCTCCCTTAGTTACTGTTGCTGGGTGAGTCAAACTTTCAGTATATGCTAACACAGTAATAACCACAACATGTGTGCTAACAGATTAGTAGCACAAATGAACATTTAAAAGCACACAGAGGAACATCAGAAACGTTTTATCATTCAAAAATAAACTGGCTTGATGTTCAGATCAGATATACATCATTTGAGAAACAGAAACTGATTCTGGAATCCAGGTGTGAATTAACTGAGGGAAATGTTAGGCAACTTCATATTAACTCAGCAGATTTTAATGTCTAATAAAGGGAAAATCTTAGTGACAGAAGCTGCCCCTTCAGATGAGCTAATAATCATTGCAATGTTATATTAGATGTTAAGAGGGACTCTTTGTCTTTTATGTGAGGTTTGTCAGCAAACTTTAATGAAATAATACAAAGAATGGCATGTGTATGATGGCATTAATATTTATCTGTACACAGAATGTATTACCAGAGAATTTGTAGAGAGGAAAATTACCACTGAGTAATGTCTTCCGGGTTTGTCAAACGCTAAAGGGTCCAAAATGAATGGGTTAATATGGAGCACTTGAAAAGTCATAGTTTATGAGTGCTTAAACATTTTTATATAGAAGAATGCATTCAGATTTTTAACACACAACAGCATAACACATCATAACACTACTGTTATATTTGAGAGCTTTTGATTTTAAGTTATAAGACTTTGTATTTACAGTCAGTGAGCAAGAACAAGCTGATCAGCTTGCCAACCAATGCGCACTCAGTAGGAGTAATGCCAACCAATCAGCACTCAGTAGGAGTAATGCCAGCCAATCAGCACTCAGTAGCAGTAATGCCAACCAACAAGCACTCAGTAGCAGTAATTTTAACCAATCAGTGCTCAGTAGCAGTAATGATAACAAGCCAGCGTTCAATAACAGTAATACTAAACAATCAGTGCTCAGTAGCAGTAATGCGAACTAATCAGCGCTCAGTAGCAGTAATGCTAACCAGTCAGCGCTCAGTAGCAGTAATGCTAAACAATCAGCACTCAGTAGCAGTAATGCTAACAAGCCAGCGTTCAATAACAGTAACACTAAACAATCAGTGCTCAGTAGCAGTAATGCTAAACAATCAGTGCTCAGTAGCAGTAATGCTAACCAGTCAGTGCTCAAAACCTGTTTGCTGTAGAAAAAAGAAATATACATGTAAGTTTTATTTGCATTTTTAGTGAAATACATTGTTCCATTTTGAAAAAAGAAATGAAAACAACTCCAAATGATCGGGATAGTGTGAGCCAGGCATTACACATTCCTTACTAACACCTTTCTATCTTTTCTCCTACTCCTGATGGAGGAAGGAGACGTTTGTGATTGACTGAGATCAATCATTATTTTAGAAACAGTTAATTCCCTCACATATGCCTGAAACACAGAATGTGGTAATGAGTACAGCAGGTTTCTGAGGGTTACCTGACTCATAGAGCTGGAAGCTGTCGTGGGAGACATCTAAAGATACAGAAATAGGCCCGACTGTGGCCACAGCGTACTGCAGAACGTCTTCTGTGCTCTTCACCATTTTATAGTCGGAACACTTAGCCCAAGCTTTCTGTTTATTAAACCTGCACAGCCCTTCCTGAGGAAAGATGAAAACAATCAGGGTCAGCTGCTTCCCTTCTAGTTCAAAGTTTAAAAGTTCAAAGGGAAAAATCAAATTGGCAAAAGTTTCTTCTCACCCAGTAAAGTTTTGCACTGGAGCTAAAAGGCTAACAACCACACTAATTAGCACTCTGCAAAATGAATGCCCAAATCATCAAATACCTGCTTGACTTACTGTTTTAAAAATGGGCAAAAATGTGTGGACAAAATGTATGCAGTTGCCCATGCTAATGGGCACACAGTTGGCTTTCATTACTTGTTAGCCGCTCCACTTTAAAGCATACAAAGCAAACTTCAGACAGCAAAAAATGTCTTAGCTGATCAAATACATTTGGGCATAAGGACTAATTTGTGTATCCTTAATTAAACTATTGGCATCATTAACTACTGCAGCCTCACCTTGGCCTGGTATGGATAGGTGTACGCTGTCTCCAGGCCTCCACTTTTCATGATGTAGTCAAAGGCCTGGTATGCCAGACCACCGTTACAGCCATAGTTTCCAGAACTCCCAGAGCAGTCCACCAGCTGTTGCTCGCTCAAGCTTACCAGCTTCTTTGTCTTCTTGAACATCTGACCCTCGAGCGCCCCTGTCTGAGAGAGGGGGATGATAGAAAACAAAGGGCGTGAAAAAACAGAAATCCTAATTATTTTCTTTCTTAAATAATGCTCTATTTCAAGTTCCACTCTTCCACAGCACACATACTCCTACTTTGACCTGTATTTATCCGCAAGCTGATAATTAACATTACTCATATTACAAACTTAATTGTTTCAAATCACCAATATTTATGCAAGTTCCTCCATTGTAATGATGCACACTAAAGATACTTGAGCACTAACAGCTCCCCCTTGTGGAGAACATTCAGAGAAATAGATCTATAAAAAAACTGATACCAGTGGAAACCAATGACTATCGTATCACAATGAAAATGAAAGTTACATCCATGAACATTAGTAGGGGTGCAGTGGATCACAAAACTCACGGTTTGGATTGCATCAGTTTTTGAGTCACGGATCGTATTATTTTTCAGATAAAAAAAAGGAGACAAATATAACTGTGCTTTCCATTTATTACTTAAAGAACCTAAAGAACACTTAAAACAAGAACTTTTGCCCATGGTCTTAAATGAAAACAACAATGAAGATGTCTATTGTTTAGATAAAATCTTAAAATATAATAGTCAGTACAGAATTGTTAAAGTGCAATATGAGTCATGGCGATACCTTCTTCTTTTGAATAATAGTAATTGAAAAAATGTCTACGTTGTCTGGGGAGACGGTTGACCTCTTTTCCCAGTCCCCTGCTGTGGAGAACACCCTCTTGCTAGGAATTGAAATGCCAGGCACAGCGATGTAGCATCATGGCAACGTGTGGAAAAACATTTTGCAGCATAGTTTGTGCTTTGGACCCCCACAAACAGATGAATCCAACTTTTGCGAGTGTATTGAAAGAGTAATCAAAGTAAACTCAGTCAAAACTTGGCGAAGGACGTGTCTTCTGAGGACATGAATGAATTATCTACTACTGTCATCATATCTTTATCAGTATAATGTTGATTTTAAATCATTTGAGACCAAAATATCAAGCCAGATGTTCTTTTTTCCCTACCCAATGCCTCTGACTATTAAATAATTATTTCAGGCTTTACAGGGTGACACACAGCAGTGTACACTCACTATATTTTAGTTTTTTTCTCAAAAATGATATTTCTTTCAATTTGAACAAAAAAAACTTACATAGTGCCGCTTTAACTGCTTTGCTCATGCTCCGTTTACGTGAAATAGAACTGCTTTTTTGGTAACTTTTTAGACAGAGATTTAGGGAATTATTACTTTAAAAATAACAGCGGCAGTAAACCTGTATTGCACATGATTATGGCTAAACGTCGGCAATTAATCCATGGTTCACATGCACAACAAACTATGGACAACAAACATCATTATAATGATGATCTGTTAGTATGAATATTAGAAGAGCTCAGTGTATTATGAGGCAGGTGAAACTATGTTTATGATTAGTCCATTTCAGATGAAGAAGTTCACTTTGTTTTCAAGGCAGCAAACACAAAAGAACGGCTGATCTCTTATGGTTAGCGTTAGCCTAACGTGGACAGCAGAGTGACTACCACACTTCTGTTTTGTCTTGTATCACCTTGTAACACCTACATTTTTTAAATGATATATACCAAAACTGTCAGAAATTTTAATTATACTGAACCGACAAAACTACTTCAAAGTTTCCCTCCATCTGGTTCTCCCTCACTATCTGTCCTGCTGTAACTCACCGCACTGAAGGCCCAACAGGAGCCACAATGACTTTGGTCCTTAACCTCAGTCACATAGCCCTCAGCCCTCCAGTCCACAGCGCTAGGCAGAGCAGCGCCCTCTACCGGTTGGAGAAATGTAGTTGCACTCTCGATCTTGGTCTCATTAAAGGATCCCAGGCAGCCCTTGAACATCTGCTGGTACTCCTGATTATCCTGTCAGAGAAGAAGATGGTGAGAGAGTTGTGACTTCCCAGAAGTCAAATACAGTTACTGAACAGCACATCATAAACAGAGCTGAAGGAAAAAAAATCTGTGAATTGTGTAATGAAATGTCTGTGTGGGATCTCACCATATCTGCAAAGTGGTTCATGCCGAGTCTGTAGCTTTTGATGCCCTGGTCAGCCAGCATGTTGTGCTCCAGGACCAGTTTACGATTGTCCAGCCAGATCATCTTACGTCGAGACTCTTCTTCCACTGAACCATAACTCTTAGCTGAGAGGGAAACATACATACAGTGCATATACAGTATTTTCCACAGACACACATACTGTAAATACATACACAGAGTTTGCCCCTCCAGGCTGCTCCAGAGTTTCTGCTTCACATCTTCAGCACCAATATTTCAGACAGCAGATCGGCACATGGTTCAGAGCGGGGCTTTAATATCACTAAATATGGCCAATTAAAAAAGATTATGAGCTGCCATCACTCAGAATACAGCTTCTGTCTCTGAGTCTCTTTTCAATCTCTTGATGTTGTTACCATGTTTCTGATTTTGCTGTAGCATTTGTAAATTTGCTGTTGCGTTTCTGAATTCACTGTTTTCTTGAATTTGGTGTTACGTTCCTGAATTTGCTGTTGCATTTTAAAATTTATTTAAAATAATAATTTAATATAAATTAATTTATATTAAAATTATGTTTATGAATTAGAGGTCGTATTTTTGCATTTTCAAAATTGCTGTAGCTTTTCTGAGTTTCTGAGCTTCTGCCAAAAAATGTTACATAGGCCAACATATTACAGATTTTTACAGTGTAAATTATTATTTTAAATTAAAGAAGAAATATTTTTAATATTCTTAATACGTTATTCCAAATAAAGTTGGAATAATATTGTACCTTGGGAACAATTACTTATATACTTCTATAGTTATACAGCCTTTGGCAGGAATCAGTACCTCTTAAGACACTGCTTGCAGTTTTTACACCATTCAATTCTAAATATTTTTCTGTTTTAGCAAAGAATTTGCCACTGCAGTAGAGGAAGTTTGTAATTTGTTATACAGAAGCAGATTTGATGTAGATTTCTCACCAAACTTCAGTTTCCAGGTGTGGAACTCCAGATCCTCCAAAGACATACTGGCTGCACCAGCCACAGCCACAAGAGCAGCGACAGCAAGCAAAACCCTCATTCTGCACAGAGTAAGGAGCAGATTTACTAATGTTTGATCCGTTGCAAACCCTACTTAAAACATGAAAGTAAAGAACAGTTACATACATCTCTTTTGTTACAGTGTAAATGTATTCATGCATTCTTGAAATGAAAGTCACTCAGTACTTATGTAGCATTTTAACTGAGTAAATATTGACTATTTCTGCAGAGCTACCTTTACTTTTACCTAGACTCTTTACCCTTTTTTACAATCAGTATTTTTTTCTTTTAAAATTTTCAAGTTTGCGTGAGATCTGGAACGTTAAGTTATCTGTGAATGTATGATGAAGTTTGTGTGTTTATGTGTGTGTGAGTGAGAATTTATATAGTTTCATGAGCCACAACTGCCAGATTACCTCCGAGGCTGAGACTAATGTTGGAGTAATGGTAATAGTTGTAGTTATTTTCTGGTTTTATCTGCCACTCTGCTCCATGTAATATGCAAAAGTTTGGACGCCCTGGTCAAATTCCATGTTGTTGTTGATTTTCTGTGTGACTAATTTCACATATCCTCTAAACTTCGGCACATTTTAATGCACAATTACCGCTTACTTGCTGAATTTTACATATTGGAAAAAATATAACTGTCATCATCATCATCATTAACCGCTTAGTCCAGATAGGGTCACGGTAGCAGTTGGGAGAGCAGAGAATCCCAGACGACCCTGTCCCCCGCAACTTCCTCCAGCTCATTCCCGGGGACCCCAATACGCTCCCAGGCCAACTTGGAGATATAATCCCTCCAGCGGGTCCGAGGACAACCCCAGGGTCTTGTCCCGGTAGGCCGTGCCTGGTACACCCCCACCGGGAGGCGTCCAGGGGGCATCCGGATCAGATGCCCGAACCACCTCAACTGGCTCCTCTCAATTCAGAGGAGTAGCGGCTCTACTCTGAGCTCCTCCCGGATGACCGAGCTCCTAACCCTATCAAGTAGAGTGTAGCTGGCCTGCAAAGAAAGCTCATTTCCGCTGCTTGTATTCGCGATCTCATTCTGTCGGTCATTACCCACAGCTCATGACCATAGGTGAGGGTCGGGATGTAGACCAACCGGTAAACAGAGAGCTTCGCCTTATGGCTCAGCTCCCTCTTCACCACTACAGTCTGGTACACTGCATTACTTCTGCCGCCTGTCCCAGCCTGCGGCCGATCTCACAATCCCTCTTCCCATCACTCTTGAACAAGACCCTAAGATACTTAAACTCCTCCACCTGGGGCAAGTCCTTTCCCCTTACCTGGAGTGGGTATGCCATCCTTTTCCAGGCTAGGACCATGGACTCAGACTTGGAGGTGCAGATCCGCATGCCAACCACTTCACACTCAGCTGCAAACCACTGCAGTGAGCGCTGGAAGCATCCATGCGATCCAGCTAAAAGAACAACATCATCTGCAAAAAGCAGAGACACCACCCTCCGGCCTCCACACATAATGCCCTCCTGACCCCGGCTACGCCTTGACACCCTGTCCATGAATATCACGAACAGGAGTGGAGACAGGGCACAACCCTGGCGGAGTCCAACGCTAACACTGAAAGAGCCTGACTTAATGCCGAGTATACGAACACAGCTCTCACTCCGGGAGTACAGAGATTGAATGGCCTGGGGTAATAGCCCCGGCACCCCATACTCCCGGAGGACCTCCCCCAAGATATCTTAATCAAAAATATAACTGGCCTCTGCAAAAGTTATGGCACATTTTATTTTTGATGTTTTTTTCCAATGTTAAATGTTGATGTTAAACTTAGCAAATGAATAGAAATTGTGCACTAAAATTAGTACAAAAATGCCATGTTTACATGTTCTGTGTAAATGAGGCATTATCTTATTTATACTTAGAAAATCAACAAAATATGTATTTTGACCAGGGGCGTTGCACACAGATATTTGCAGGTATTTGGGTGTGGTGAGGAGTTTGAGGGGAGGAACATGCCTGAAACCCCACCTTCTTCCAGTTTATAAATTCACTTCCTCATCCTCACCTTACATTCCTGTGACAAAGTGTTTGCAATCCCCACCACCACCCCATCTCCTTCCTGTTCCTCAGTCCTGCATCAGTCCTACTACAGCTGATGAGGGGTTCTGGCCATCTAGCTACAGCCAGAAGCTGCCCAGAACTCCAGCTCAAGTTCTCAGAGTCAATCAGTCTTCCCTCATACTACCACCACCATGTTGAAGACATGGTCTGAACTCACAAGCCATAATTAGTTTTATTTGCCATGTAAAAGTACTCACTGTTATCATCACTTGATACCAACTGGACCAGACCTGTTTGTGCTTTTATGCACATACAAAATGTGTGTTCATGGCAAATATTGTAAACAAAAATCCCTTTTACATGTTGGTGTATTTTATCATATTCTATTTTGAATGTATTTGAAAAAGCAACTGGCGGCCATATGTTAGAAATATTTTCCCACAGACAAGTGAGTTTGAGGTGTGTGTGAGGACACACAGTATTAAGATGAGTAATACCTGTGAAACCACTAGTCAATGGCAAAACTTCAGTAGAAAGTTTTCCGCTCCTGTTTCTTAATAATCTCACATCAGACTCACCAAGTTTTCTTCCTATTGTTCACTTGTATAACTTCAGTGGCACTACTGACCTTTACGTGCTGTCTAACTTGATACTTACTTTCACATGAACATTATTTGCAAAACTGCTAAGCATCATTTGATATGTTCACTCATATATTTTATGTAAGATTACAGTCTATATTTCCACTGACACAAACTGAGCTGTGAAATTAGAGGAACACTCCAAGTGTTTTTCAGTCTTTATCTGCTCTGTCTTTAGATTACAGTTTATTTGCATTGACAACTTTTTGAGCAACAATGACTTTTACTTAGTTAAAGAAAAAAAATGTCAGCAGAAACACATTTATTACAGAAATAATGTGCATCTGCTGAAGACACCACCCACTTTTATAATATACAAAGCCACCATCTCTGACCCAGGCCAGAGACTAGGGATGATTACTGACTTTTATGACAACACAGTGTTCTTTAATTCTAGTACTGGAGGGCTGGTGTTCAACCAAGTTTGAGGATTTTCTTTCTCATGTTGCCAGAGAGCCATGTCTGCCGTTTGCCTTTTCAATCAGTGAAAGTTTTAGCAGCTTGACAAAAAATCCCATTTGGGCTCCTCTGGGCCACCATCACCTCCTAAAACCTGATCATCCCTTGGCCCCAACAGCTATTAGCTGCAGCATATTTAGACTGTGTCTTGGTTTACTGAGGATGCCAACCAAGCCTGATCTCCCTAGCAACAGTCTGTCTCCATTTTATTTTATTTTATTTTATTTTATTTTCAATGCTTATTGACCTCACAGCAAGGAGGGCCTGGGTTCAATTCCCAGCTGGGCGACCAGGGTCCTTTCTGTGTGGAGTTTGCATGTTCTCCCTGTGTCTGTGTGAGTTTCCTCCCACAGTCCAAAGACATGCAGTCAGGCTAATTGGACATGCTAAATTGCCCCTAGCTGTGAATTGCCCCCCCCCTTCCGTGACCCAGAAGGATAAGTGGTTTAGATGGTGTGTGTGTGTGCTTATTGACCCATGTGGCACATGCACAATGTTAAGTTTGTATAAGTTACTCTGAGCTACCACACGATTTCTGCGGCTTTCTGTATATAAAGTGTTTATATAACACAGTGTTCAGTTGCCACAATCATGGTGTTGACTCTGAACATTATGGTCCCATGAGTGGAGACTTACAGCTTGTATGTCTGTAATGTGTTGGAATGTGATGAACCCTTTTGATGAAAACTAAATGTGTTAATCATAAAAAGTTGTGTTACATGTGTTTTTTCCATCACTGAAATTAGTTTGGATCTCAGTATATTTGTCTCTTTCTGGATAACCATGTCTGTAGGTGAGCTAACATGTAAAAGTGACATAACAACAATGATTACAATGCAGAATTCAAGTCATATTGTCAGTGTTATCACCCACATTATTCTGAAGAACTGATTTTTTCACCTGACGTGAGATGCAGTGCAGTGAAATACAGCTGAGATAAAAGGTGGAAAGAAGTAAGTTTGCATTTACAGGTCTAACACCACTTAGTTTTACTGTAATTTCAGCCTGTAGCTCCATCTGTCCATCACACTGTCCCTGAACATTTAAATACATGAGAGGTAAGAAACTAAGTAGAAAATGGTGAATTAGTATTTCACAGCACCAGTACAACGGCTACAATGACTGACTGTTTAGTAAAACACACTTTTTACATGAGTGTAATTTTATGAATGTTTCTACCAGTTTGTGCGTTTCAGCTCTTACCTCTGTGTGATATACTGCAGTCTTGAAGCTCTATGTGCGAATGATGAGGTGAATGTATCGGCCCTGTCGGCTCTGGTTTTATTGTGACTTTATCTGTCTAATCCACCACAATGATGCTTATCTCTGTGCTAAATATGCCAGTAAGCACAATCTGCTCACCACAGACAGCTTACAGCAAACATCTTACCACACACAGCTCACCACAAACATCTCACCACAAAAAGCAGACTCTCTTATCAAGATCATCTTCTAAAATGATCAAACAGTGGCTTTTAGAGACGGTTTTAGCCGTTTGCAAAATGCATTCTTTGTCCTATATTTGGAAAAGTGTGAATTTGGTAAAGGAGTTATTTCCTACCTTGAGAAGACTGCAGGACAGGGTCAGGTGAAGCCTTTTGACGTTAAGATGCAAACAATACTATAGCTGCTTTTGTACAAATGTTTTGGTTATTGTGTCACCCTGCATTGATCTTCTGCAATCATATGCCCCTTCTGCATGATCACCCGAGTGCCAGTCAACATCTGATTCTGTGAAGCTGCTGCTCATCAGTTCCCCTGTGCTTGCTGCACTTCTTTCAATAAGCTGTTTAAGTTGGAAATCGATGCATGTGATAAAGGTGCTGGCAGTGTTCTTCAAGAAGATGAAGATCACATTGACCATCCTTTGTGTTTATTTTCCAAGAAGTAATTAAAGCATCAATTAGCC